GGGGGGGGGTCCAGAGGTACACTTATAATGGTCCAGATAAGCGACATCAGTGCCAGAAAAACAAAGATCCAGAAGTTGTTGTCTGTCATACACCAGCAGAGAGTTGATGTCATTGATGAGGAATACAAAAAACAAAAATAATCCGAACACCATCAGCAGAGGTGGATTGCAAGCCATGTACACAGGCGCCATCTTACCAGAACTCTAACTTATGGACTTTCTTGTCACTAAAAGTACATGAACATTAAAAACCTCATGACTGGTAACAATACACATGAAGTACACAGATTCAACACAATTAATGAAAACCATTGTGTTATTTATTTTTCATTTTGATCATTTATTGAATTACATTCATTCAAAAAATGTTACAACCCACTGAAAACCAAAAGAAAAGTTTTTTTCTATAACAAGAATCTTTGAAAGAGTTAAACGGGCAGTTATGGTCCATCATTAAATGGGCGGAGCCTCCGTGTTCAACTGTCCCCCTCTTACAATGATGTTATTGCTAATATCACTCAGCCCCCTGTGAATAGCAAACAGCCATCAGGGTGCTAATGATCCATTGTTAGACTGATGGTCCTCCTTTATCTTGTGAACAGTTTAGTTCTGGATGTTAACAACAAACGAGTTGATCCACTATGAGAAGGTGCTATTTATAAGACTGAGCTGAATACAGCACATCAGACTGAAGAAGTCTTTCAGATGAAAGACGAAACGTTTCTACAATTGTTTTTTTTTTGTTTTTTTTGAACGTCCAGAGGACCTGACTTAACTTTTTTTTTTTCCTACTTGGCTTATTGAGCATGCATCAAGATACTTTGAAAGAGTTCTTTGAGCAGCCCTCCCAAGAATACCGCAGTGAGAAAAGCTGCACACTTTAATAAATCATCCAAGCTGTAAAACTATAAAGTCTGTTAATAAAAGCAAAACATATTGACCTATAGACTAGGCCTATCACGATATCAACTTTGCTGGGCGATTAATTGTTTCAGAAATTATTGCGATAAACAATGTTGTTTGAAATTTGACAATAATTAGTAATTATTGTCATGTCAAATTTAAGGATAAATCTTTAATTTGTTTTGTGTATAGTACCTTTTTGTGACCACCGGATAGCAGTATAAGATTGTTTGAACCGAAGGATGGGTAGTGTGGGAGTGAGCAGTGTGTCTCTTAAAGAAAAATAGGAGGGAGGCCTCTTGACGTGACATGGGCTGTTTCGCCTTCCTTTTTTTCGGTGCTCAAAATGGCAGATGCTCGGTGTGGTTTGAGCTCTTTAGCATAGCATTTTTCAAACAAAGCTTTTAATAAAAAAATCAGTAAACAAGTTCTCATCTTCTTTTTGCAGAGAAAAACAACTTTTTACACAAAGGCACGAGTTTCAGTCATGAATTTTGGAGCTTCGACAAGACAGAGGTTTTTTTCCGAGGTCAGCCTATTCGTAGCTTAGTTTCTCAGCTTAACTGCTTTTAACGATCCAAAAACACGATTTTGGATCGTTAAAATGGATTTTAAAGATAAAGGGAGGGGTCAGTGAAGAGCATTGGAGTTTTGAGCCTTTTGTCATCTAGTGTCTTTAGTAGAAAGAGAGAGAGACACGAAGAAATGATAAAGATGATAAATTAAAATGAGGTTGATAATTTTCCTTTATCATGTGATTAATTGATTTATTGTTTATTGCGACAGGCCTACTGTAGTGATGTAGGGCTAGGTTGGCTTCAGTTAGCTTAAGAGCTCCACTACAGTCAATATTTAATAACGGGTTCTCACTTTTTCGAGCTACTTGACAGATATGTGACAGAGGTACTGTGTTGTCGATGGTCTAATCAGTGACATGAGACGTTAATTTTCTTTGACCCATCAAAATGAATGTGGTCATTTATTAACAGAATCAAAATTTAACATCAAAACATTGTACACTTGATTATGCTATCGGCTCTTATTAATAAAACTTGGCACGTTTTACTTAATAAAAACAACAGACATTTCGAAAGATATCTGGATTAATTACTGGCAAGATAGAAGTTTAAAGATGGGAAATGGAGGAGTTTGAATGGAGAGAAAAGATGTGGAGGAAGAAAGTGTGTTGACGAGGAATGGCACCCTTCATCCGACCCCAGCTCAGCCCTGGTACACTCGGTAGTGAAGCGACTCGTTACCTTTGCAGAAGATAGGTCAGCTCCGGTACGGAGTTCCATTTCAACGCTACCTTTCAGCGTCTCCTTAGGATGGCTGAGAATCGTCCGAAGTAGTGACGGTACTCCGTTCAACAACACGCTCACCTCCCAGGTGGACTCACATGAGCTGTGAGTCCGTCAGCGGTTCCACTCAGATGTGGAAGGTTCCATAATCCCAACTAGACTCGGAAGAACTCCCAACTAACTCCAGCACTTCAGAACTTTCTCCAGGCACTAGCACTTCAGCACTAGAACTTTCCCTCCGAACTTAACTTCTGTTCTAACTGGAACTAGGAAGTGTCGACTTTTAAAGAGTTCTATTTCCGGTCACTTTTGGGAAGTCCTGATTGATTGAATGAACCAACAGGGATGTGGTTTTAGTGACATCAGAGGGTCATTACAAGTCAGAAAAACAACGGAGATGTTTAGGAACAGACAGAGAAATGTTTTGAAGAAGAGAGAAAAACTACAGGTGTCAGTTCTCTTGTTTCTGTCTGAGAGGTTTAAAAACATGACAGTACGTTCCAATAACTTGCTTCGGACTGTCTCCGATTTTTGACCGACATCACTCTCTCATTTCAGACAGAAGATCAAAAATGCATAATTACTTTGTAAAATAGACATTTAACTTGATTTTTACTTTAAATTAGGATTAAAAAATCATTAATACTGTTTCACAGTTGATTTAAAATGAGTGGTTCACTTCAACATTTAAAATAGTATGAACTAACACACTTTTGATTATCAAGATATTGTAAAATAGTAATGATAATATTAAAAAGAGAGTGTTCTTTCAATTGATTAGTTCAGGATACAATTAGAAAGTCTCTGGATGAGCTAATTTGTATTTCTGGATTCAAATCAATGAAATAACAGTTCCTGTCCCATGAAGGTCTTCAGAGGCAGGTTTGACCGGAGGCCGAGTTCACTACACTACTATTGGCATATTGAGTTTGACCTCTCTAAGGGATTTTAAACAACTGCTGAGTTCAATGCAAAAATCAATGCAGACATGTTTCTGTTTTTAGTATTTTACACCGTTTTATAATGTAGCACATTTTCTATTTTGTTTTATATTACTTCGTTTGTTTACTTTTCATTTTATATGCTTTTATATAATTGTTTTATTGTTGTCTGTAGTAGGGATGGTATGGTATGGTATGGTATAAAGTTTATTTATTTAAAAAAATACAAAACAATTTCATAACAATATAAAAAATAAAGAGATTTAAAATGAAAGGCAGCAGAAGAAGAAAAAATCTTATTATATCTGCCCCTTTTTTCACTCAATTAGTTCAATCACAATAATTTTCAAGTAACAGAACAAAATGAATAACTCTTTTTAATTTTTCAAATTCTAATACAAAAAAACTGTCTCTTAATTTTTCTAATTCTAATACAAAAAACACATTAAGCTACTTTATATATATATATATATATATTTTAACAATTCAGCTTTGATCTTTTTCTTAAATGTACACATTGACTTGGCATTTTTAACATCACTCTCTAGACCATTCCACAATCAAATTCCTTGGATTGAGGTAGACCTTCCCTTAAGACTAGTTCTGAATTTTGGTTTGACAAATATCTCTATTCTAACAACTTTGTCTTTTAACAAAATTTCTTTGGATATTTAATGGTAATGTGTTATTTTGAGCCCTATACATAACTGATAAAATACTATAATCTACCAAATCATGGAACTTCAATAACTTCAGTTGATAAAATAATGTGCTTGATGCGTGACTGTAATGCTTTCTGGTGATAATTCTTACAGCTCTTTTCTGTAAAATAAAAATAGACTTTGCAAATTTTTTACACGCTTTCCCCCAAACATCAATGCAATAGATTAAATGTGGAACAATGTTTGTGTTATACAATATGTACAAAGCTTTATCATTTAATAATTCCCTGACTTTGTATAGTACTACAATAGATTTAGCTATTTTTGTTCTTACAGAATTTATGTGATTTTTCCATGTTAGCTGTTCATCAATGATTACACCCCAAAATTTCATCTCATTAACTCTACAAATCTCAACACCGTCAATTTTAAATGGATCATCAACAGTTCTCTTTTTGTTACTAAATATCATGTAATTAGTTTTATCTAAATTTAATGATAATTTATTAAGTTTAAACCAAGTTTGTATTTTATCAAATTCTGTCTTCATCAGTTCCAACATCCGTTTTACATCTTTACCCAAACAAAAAAATGTGGTGTCATCTGCAAAAAGGACACATTTGAGGAGTCCTGATACATTCACGAAGTCATTCAAATATAAAATAAATAACTTTGGTCCAAGTACAGAGCCTTGAGGAACTCCACACGTGATATTGCAGAGGTCAGATCTTACACCATTTAATTGTACAAACTGTTTCCTATCTTTCAAATAGCTAGACACACAGTGTAATGCTGGTCCGCTTATACCATATTTATTTAATTTTTCAAGGAGAATAGTGTGGTCAATAGTATCGAATGCTTTTTTTAAATCAACAAAAATACTAACACAATACTGTTTTTGATCGACAGCAGTAGTTATTTGTTCTATCAATTCCATGAGAGCCATTGATGTAGAGTTTTTGGCTCTAAACCCATACTGACTGCTACTTAGAATGTTTTGTTTAGTAATAAATTTATCTAATCTGATCACAAATAATTTTTCTAGAATTTTTGAGGACTGTGTAATAAGGGTATTGGTCTATAATTATTGAACACACATTTATCACCATTTTTAAAGAGAGGAACTACCTTAGCTACATTCATATTGTCTGGAAATATTCCTTTTGAAGATGATAAATTACATATATATGTAAACGGCTCGATAACATAACTCATAATGTCCTTTACAAACATCATATCCATGTCCACCCAGTCTTTTGATCTCTTATCTGCAAGATTTTTTATTACATTCATTATTTCTTCTTTGTCAGTTCCATTAAGAAAAATACTGTTGTCACAACCTATAACTGAATGGTTCACATTATTGTCTACTTTTGGTATTTTAGCTGCAAGGCTTGATCCACGTTCACAAAATGATGATTAAATCCATTTACAATTTCATTTTCAGCATGGATTTCATCGTCATCCTTCAAAAAATATTGTGAAATACCTGTTTTTGCTTTATGACTTTTCAGAACACTATTTATTACTCGCCATGTTGCTTTCATATCACCATTACTTTTATTTAATAAATCACTATAATATTCCTTCTTGTGTTTCCTTATACTTGCTACTAATTTATTTTTATACTTCTTATATTTCACTTTGGCCTCTTGTGTTCTCAATTTCAAGAAACATGTATACAAATAATTATTTTTTTTTACAAGCATTTCTCAACCCGTTCGTCATCCATGGTTGATCAACAACATTTCTCTTTGTATAATTATTTTGCACACAATTCTTTTCATACAGAGCTCCTAAAATATTCATAAACTCATCATATGATCTGTTCACATCATCAACATACATGTCTTTCCAGTTTTGTTTATGTAAATCATCTTTTAATTTGTCCATTGCTTTTTTTGATGTGTTTATTGTTTTTTTCTTGATTGTAATTTCTTTTGTAATGCTTTAATCTTTTTTATAAATCGTGAAAACTGGTAAGTGATCACTTGAATCACTCGTTAAAATACCTCCTATCACATGCCCATTTATTACATTTGTGAAAATATTATCCATTATTGTAGCACTATGAGCTGTAATTCTTGTTGGTTTTGATATTAATGGATAAAGATTTAAACTATACAATGAATTTGTAAATGTACTGATGTTATTTGAATCTGTTTTATTTCCCAGGTCAATATTAAAGTCTCCACACAAAAAAATGCTTTTATTAAAACTCTTGTCCAATAGTTGTACGATTTTATCGGTGAATATCTCTATATTTGATCCTGGAGATCGATATGCACAACTTATTAATATGTTTTTATCATTATTGTTTATTATTTCTATTGTTATTATTTCCATGATATTATCAACAATTATTGACATTTCATTAATTAATTTACATTTTATTTCATTTTTAACAAATAGAGCCACTCCACCACCCCTTTTGTTGCTTCTGTTCACATGATATAATTCATACCCTTCCATGTGAACATTATTTGTGTTTTCATCGTTAAGCCATGTCTCTGACAGTGCTATTATTGTAAAAGTTCTGTTTAGCTGTTTTAAAAAATCTGTTATTTTGGAAACATTTGCATTTATACTTCTACTATTAAAGTGAATGATAGAGAGACCTCAATTTGTTATATTGATGTCATTAAACTGTTCTTCATTGTAATATTCACAGTCTTTTATTACAGGGAAAAAAATTGTATCAATCACATCTTCAACATTGTATATTTTAAACTCTTAAGTTTTCGTATGGATGGGGCCAATCTGATCCTGTATCAGTATCGGGCTCCTATACCAGCATAATTTACGTATCGAATTTTCCGATCCAAACTGCTGATATTTCCGATCCATGATGCATGTCTGTGGTTGCACTGCACGTTGACTTCAAACTTTGGAATGGATTTCCTGAACGGAGGCGCGTCTCATGAACCCAGAGTAATAAGACCCGCCTCACATTTAGGAAATCCATTTCATAGTTTGCAGACAGCTACAACGCGAGGACTGAGTTAGGAGCACTGTGGCTAACGGCTAACAAACTTTTCATTGAAACATGTCGACTGTATGGAAGTATTTTACACTAGAAATAACCCAAAACAAGACAGCAACGTGCAATGTCTGCAGAGCCGTAGAACCACATTAAACTGCGGTAAAGTTAGTTTTACTATGGCCATTCGAGCTCC